CACAAATGCATGGCAGTCGGTGCCGGAATAATCCTGTGGAGAGAAATCCTAGTTCCAATTTCATTTATTTATTTAGATCTATCCTTTAACCTTGTTTACACACTTTATGGGCCAATATTGCTAATATGCTTATCGTCCCAGCATCCAATAAAAAGGAATGTGTTCTTAACACATTTATATCTTTGCTGTCTTCTGTACTGTACCTGCACCTGTTTAGTGCATTTTTAGAATTAACAATAATTTCCCCGATTCCATGGCACCAGTCAGATTGGTTCTGCTATAAGAAAGCATGTTTTATTTTATTAAGTTATAGCATTTAGAAACGGCTTAATATTTTTAAAATCTCAAAGCAGTACGCAACTTAAAAACAACATCATTAAAACAAAAATACAGCATATTTGTTCTGTGAACCTCCCTAAGACCTCCAGGTAAAGGGCAGTATATAAATAAAATAAATAATAATTAGTAATAATAATAATACCAGTGAAACTGTAGTATAAAATGAAGAATTAAGGCTAATTAAGACAGGGTCAAATAAGTTAGAGAAAGCCTGGAAAAAGGTCCACCTTTGTCTGAAGCGAATGATGGTTGCTGCTTCACATATGGCAGAGAGAAGAAGCCCTAAGGAAACATCAGATGAAAGATGTGTTCATACAGAGGTTTCTTTCTCAGTCGGCTAGAATTGCTCATTCTCATTACAGTCCCCTTTTCACATTAATAATAATCATATGTTCACCTCCTACATTACAATTCTTGGATGCTGCATTTGTCTCCTCCAAAGTCCCTTTCAAGTAATCTAATAAATCGGAAAGATCACAACAGATATCTTTGTTTTCTAATGTATGTGCAAAGTTTTATCTCCAGCGTTCCCTGTGTGGTGTTTCATAGACTTTATCTCATGTCAGCTACCATTGATAATTGTACCATTAAATCCAAATCTCTCTCCCTGCTAGAGACACTCAGTTGCTCCAAAGGAGTATGCTTGCTGGGCAGTGTGTCAAAATGTCCTGGTGCAGTAAGGATCTTTTGACACTGCATCAGAAGCATCCCTGTGTTGCAGTGCAGAGCGACTGGATTGTCAAAAGGGCATAAGGATAAGCGTCCAGCTTCCAGCTCATCCCTTTCCCTCAGACTTTACAGCACTGCTCTTGCACTAAATGTGATTCCCCTCTTAGTAATTTCCTGTCATGAAACCAGACCCCGTGTCTTCTTCCAGCAACTCTTGGCCAATGTTGCTATCTCCAAACACACCCAACAAGCTGCAGCAGAAATTGCAGAGTCAGCAAGGGCAGGCTGAGTGAAGGACCTTGTACCACTAGTGTCAAGTATCATGGGTGGAGGAATAACTATGTTACAAGCTCTTCAGGAACAGGGAGCCCTACCCTTCTCCAGTTCATGAGAGCTTCGAATCTTTTGTCTGTGGCACATCATGCAGAATGCCCTCAATCACCATATTGAGATGGTTGCATAATGCCTCCAAAGAACTCTGTTGATTCCTGTCACAAGTGTATGATCTCATAATCCCATTCTCTGGTCATCTGAAGTGTGTGTGTGTGTGTGTGTGTGTGTGTGTGTGTGTGTTGGGGGAGAAGCTGCTTCCTTTTCTGCTAGCCCCTCCTCTGGACATGCATTGGCAGAAATGGTTGCTGTTCAGGCAGCTTGAAGCCTGTGCAGTTGCCACTGGGAGCCACGCAGAGGCAAATGGGGACATGGGCTCCTTTGCCCCAGCACAAGAGCAGCTTTCAAAGCTACATTGGCAGCTAGTGGCAGCCTCTCTCTTTCATTGGCTGCAGAGAGGACAATCTCTTGGGACAGTACATCCCACTGCCCTCCCTTCTCTTCCTGCCTCTATTTACTGCTTCATGCAGGTCCCGGGGCTTTCCTTTCATACTGCAATCCAGCAGCACGCCAGGCAAACAAAGTGGCTAGGAAACAGTGCCTTAAGTCTCCAAGGCCTAGGAAGCTTCTAGCTGCAGGTTTAGTTTTATTTTGGGGGCATATTGGGAGGAGCAAGTGAAGGATTCCAAAGGACTGCAGAGGGAAGTTAGGCTTGGGCAAATGCAGCTGAGAAAAATAATAATAATAATAATAATTTTAACATAGAAAAACAATAATTTAATTTCAGCAAATTCAGCAAAATGGGAACTGGGAGCAGCAAATGAACAAGGGGACACATGAAATGGCTTTCAGAGAAATTTGGGGGTGTTGTTCTGGAGTCCCATCAGAAGTTTGTTTTTACATTCATTGTTTTTGTTCAGAAAGTATGCATGCCTTTTGTTAACCATCGGTGTAAGTATGTTTCCTTGCCCCTGCCTCTCCCATTGTACATATGGTACAGTGGTGCCTCGCAAGACGAAATTAATTCGTTCCGCAAATTAATACGGCCCTAAACGGCCTCGGCCCAGTATACCTGAAGGAGCGTCTCCTCCCCCATTGTTCTGCCCGGACACTGAGGTCCAGCTCCGAGGGCCTTCTGGCGGTTCCCTCATTGCGAGAAGCCAAGTTACAGGGAACCAGGCAGAGGGCCTTCTCGGTAGTGGCGCCCGCCCTGTGGAACGCCCTCCCATCAGATGTCAAAGCGATAAATAACTACCTGACATTCAGAAGGCATCTTAAGGCAGCCCTGTTCAGGGAAGTTTTTAATCTGTGATATTTTACTGTATCTTTGGTTTTTATGGAAGCCGCCCAGAGTGGCTGGGGAAACCCAGCCAGATGGGCGGGGTACAAATAATAAATTATTATTATTATTATTATTATATTATAAGTTTTGTCACCTTGCGATTTTTTTCGTCTTGTGAAGCACGGTGTCGGAAAAGTTTTGGAAAAGCTTCAAAAATCACCAAAGTCTTCAAAAACCTCAAAAAAGGCTACCACACCGCGTGCTATGAGTTGCTCCTCGAAGTCAAGTCGCAACTGTATTAACGGTGTTAAGAAAAAGGAAACAAACTTGCAAGACTTTTCCGTCTTACGAAGCAAGCCCATAGGGAAAATCGTCTTGCGAAGCAGCTCAAAAAACAAAAAACCCTTTAGTCTTGCGAGTTTTCCGTCTTGCGAGGCATTCGTCTTGCGAGGTACCACTGTAGTTTTCTTACTTGAATCCATTTAGAAATGTTATATGCTGCCTTTCTACAAGCTTAGCGTTCAAGGTGCGCCTTCCTTCTGCTTGGCCTGTGAGGACTGAGTGGCCCTGAGGGCCTGTTTAAGATACCCTTTTGCAGGAGACAGTGCTTTTTAACTCAGCAGCAGAGGAAGAGCCTTCTCTGAAGCTGCTTCCTGGAACATTCTCCTCCACTTCTGCCCTGGGAAAGCAAGGACCTCCCTGGTAGAGAGATGGGCAGAGAGTCTGGTGGTACCAGGGCTGAAGCACGAGTGGGTGAGCCAAAGCAGCCTCTGGGAGTAGCTCCCTGAGAGACACAAAAGGGACTGAGGCAGCTAGAGATGGGTTAGGGGAGAGACCCTGCTTGCCTCTGACACAGCACATGGCAGCGTCACTGGGCACAGGCTTTCCAGAATCCTTTAATTCATGATAGCCAAGGAATTATGATAGTCATATTCAAATATCTGAAGGGCTGTCACGTGGATGATGGAGCAAAATGGTTTTCTACTGATACCAGGGGGACTCAAACTGATGGATTCAGATTACAAGAAAGGCAATTTCAACTAAACATAAGGAGAAACTTTCTCACAGTAAGAGCTGCCTCAACATGTGGACTCTCCTTCATTGGAGATTTGTAAACAGAGGTTGGGTGGCCTCTGTCAGGGATTCTTTAGCTGTGATTCCTGCATTGCAGGGAGTTGGACAACATGGCCCTTGGCTCCTTTCCAACTCTACAATTATAGGATTTTATGCTTCATAGGCTGTGCACCTTTAAAAAGCATACGCCCTTCTCATAAAAGTGTGCTTTAATGTCTTGTACTTCAGTGAATGTCTTGCTCCATGGCCTTATCCAATAAATAATATTATTTTTGATAGGGTCTCTTTATGAAATACAATGGATACATGGTTACTGCCAACCTGTGTCTCTCCTCCCACCCAAAAACTGAATCTCCCTGGTAAAGTTTGGGAAGACAGAAGCACACTGGGATGTCATTGTGTTGAATGTTTCCCCACCCCATCCTGATTAATTGGCTACTGTATTGATAGCGAAAATGGTGCCTTCCAGATGTTGTTGGGACTCCCAAGTCTCATCATTCAACTAACTTGGCTAAGCGATAAGAGATAATAGGAGTTGTCATCCAGCAACCTCTGCAGAGCACCACCTTGACTCACTCTGGCCTGCTGCTTTGGAGGGGATGGAGAAATGCCAGGAGCTACGCTGTAATGGGCAGCTCAGCCCATTGTGGCAGCAGTGTGTTAGAATGCCTGGAATTCTTTGACTAATGGGAACAATGGCTCATCCACATTTACGTTTGCCCTGCCACTTCCCCCTGGGAAAACCTGTGATTCAGCACTGAATTGGAACAAACAGCAGTCAGGTTTTCTGCAGAGTGCTGTTTGCTCTGATTTAGCACTAAAGAGAGAGTTTTCCAGGGCAAAGGCAAAACTGCTTGGAAACAGGATGAACAGTAGTGTGGATGAGCCCCTGAGAGAAAGAGAGAGCATTTGTGTGATTCAGTCTCCCTGCAGCAGCGAAGCACAAGTGAATGGTACCCGGAAATGTGACATTTTGCTTCTTTCTGACAAAGGCTTGGGGGGGGTACTTTCTCTCCCCCCCCCCAACCCCAGTCCCCATGCCTTGCTCCATCTCCTCTCCTTTTCCCCTTTGCTTCCATGTGGACCTGGCCTACAGTGGTTCTGGCATCTGCGGCTGCAGCAGCAACAGATGGATTTAGCTGTTGAATCCCTATGAATGCACACAGACAATAGCCGGCTGGGGGAGGGGGGAGGGGGAAGCAGCAGGGCCATAGGCTGGAGTTTGGGGGGGGGGTTGATGGGGCCCCCTTTGTGCCATGCGCCGTTTACCCTTGCAGCTACAAGGCCGCTTTGTTCTTTTGCTCAGGACACTCTGAATAACAACTCTCTGGGGAAAAAGCACAGTTGGCAGGAGCGAGTGTCCCGGTCGTCATCCCCTCTGAAAACTGGTGAGTTCATCTCTGTACAGCGACTGGTTCTCTTTCTATCTTTTTTCCTCCCCCTTTTTGCATGATGGTACATTCTCTGGCGCTTGGACCTTCTCGCTACATCCTTCTAATGTGTTTTCACTTTGGCCTGCATCTTGAAACGGATGCTATAGTTTTATTAATTGACTGGTGGCACACGAGCCATGGGGTTTGACTTTTCCTGACTGCTCTCCTTCAGAACAGGCTTATTCTAAAAATCCAAGGCCAACTCACAACGTGGCTCTTGTTACATCAGCTCAAGACAATCTGTGGCAGAAGAGCTAGTGTGATAAGGTTGGGTGCAAGTGCTGGAATTGGGTTCAAAAAGCCCCGTCAGACAAGGCACTCAATAGATGGTCTGAGAAATTAACTCTCTCAGTCCAATTTTCCTCACAGGGTTGTGAAGTGAAAACAACATGAACAGCATTCTGGGGTCCTTGAAGTAAGGGGAGATATCAAATTAATAACAATACTTGGGGAGGAATCCAGTGTCCTGCTAAAACTAAGTTCTGTCAGCGAGAGCATTTCTGCTTGCCCAGTGGAATGATCTGCCCCCTCATCCTCCTCTATTCTGTTCTGCTTGATGGACATACCAATCTCTCCTCTGCTTCTGCTGAATGCTGTTCTGAGGGTTCTCCCAATCCTCCTGAGCAGATTTAGGGAATGTGGGGAGGAGAGTTCTGTTGTGCTGGCTTCTGCTTGCACAATAATTTAGTTGAATCCGGCCTTGAGGGCAAGATTTAACTAATGAGCCCTGCGAGCAGAAACCTGGGCAAGGACTTCCACTAGTGCAACGGAGCTTCCCTCCCTTCCCCACTCCCACAAAATTGGCTGTGTGGCAGTCAGGAGAAAACCTCTGGAACCAGAAGCGTAGGAAGGTCAGGTGGTACTTGGTGCGGAAAGTTTATTGTCACCCCCCCTTTGATTTTTTTTTTTTGCCTGCAAAAATGGTTTTAAGTTATTTCATATTTTCTTACAAAGGAATAATAATAAGTAGTAGTAGTAGTAGTAATAATAATAATAGTAATAATAATAGTAATAATAATAAAATAACTTTTATTTATATCCCGCCCTCCCTGGCCAAAGTCAGGGTTAGGGTGGCTAACATCAGATACATAACATTGGTATAAAATCAAACAATAATTAAATTACCTCCTAAAAACATGTCAAAATCAAATTAAAGTCTAATTAGATGGCTTTTCAGGGTTAGGGTTGGGAACAGTAAGTGCTCCACTGAATTGAAATTTCAGCCTTCACGATATAGGAAAACAGCCAAGTAAACAGCTATTTTCGTGGAGGAGGGTCAAGATATTAACTGATATGCATGAAATTTCATATACAGTATAGCTATATAATCCCTAGTGTAGTAAGATAAGACCTTTGGAGCAGGCATTTTCAAAAAAAAGTTTTTTATGAACCGCCCTAGTATGGCAGTAGTTGTTCCTTGATAATTTGTCACCCCACTCCATGATGGAACCTGGGCAGCCCCCCCCCCCTTCCTACGCCCCTGTCTGGAACAGGACATGGGAGGAGGAGAATGCAGATCTTCCATCAGGCAAGCAGAAAGGCTTGTGCTGACAGAGCAATCTGCCTAGTGTGCTACATTTAATTCCTTCCTCTCATAATATCCTTGTGGTCCCTGGAAACTAGTTCCTTTGCTATTCGTTCCAGTTTTGAACTTACTAATTCCAAAGATTGGCCATTCCAGTTAGAAGGTTTTATAACAACTTTGGGATGTGAATGCTAATACTTAGGACTTGGTATACCAACTCTGCTTATTATTGTCCCTGACTATTGCAATGTCCCACAGGCCCCACCAAGTGAAACAGCTCCTCTCAGCTCCTTAGATTCAGTCCCTTGGGTGACTGGACTTCACAACAGCTGCTTTTGCCACCATTCTGAATTAACTGTGTTGAGATGTAGCCAGACACTGTTGCTCCCATTCCATTGGCTGACATAAGTTCTCTAACCCCACCTTACCCACCCTTAGGTGAGCAGACCCCTCCCCATGACCACGTTTGCCTGAGTGATGAGGTCACTCACCAAAACAGCACAACCTCCACCAAAGATCGGGGCACATCCACGGAGAGCCCGTGCCGGCGTACGGCTGCCACACAGATTGCTCCAGCCTGTGTTGCCTCGTCCCGGGCACCGGAGAAACAGCAGGTTGCCAACCGCCCCCCACCACAGAACCCCACCGTTGTAGTAGTGACACGGGGGCCAGAAGCTTATCGGGACCGCATTCGCTACCAGACAGATGTGAGGCTGGAGGCTACTGAGGAGATTTACCTCACACCAGTGCAAAAGAATTCTGACCCTCTGGAGTCTGAGAAGCCATTCATGTCACAGTCCAGTGATAACCGGATGTCCATCAGCTCTGACATAGACACTTCCAGCTACCCACAACTGGCAGGAAAACCTAACACCTCAATCAGCGAGGAGGATGAAGTGCTGGACTACCTGTCCTCACCTGACAAAATGAACGCACCAAGGACTGTGTATGGCAGCAGCAGCAATGGCGGCTATCGGCCCTGCCATAGCCGTCAGAGGGCATCTGTGAGCTCTGACACCAGTGCCCTCTCCTACGATTCGGTCAAATACACTCTTGTGGTAGATGAGGACGTGCAGCTGGAACTCGTAAGCCTGAAACAGTGTTACTCGGGTTACAGCGACGAGAGCGATTCAGCCACTGTCTACGACAACTGTGTCTCCTCACCCTATGAGTCAGCCATTGGGGAGGAGTATGAGGAGGATGCCCTGAAACGTGACTCTGTCTGTCTCTCTGAGGACTCCACCCCTGAGGCAGACATCCATTTCTCCAAGAAGTTCCTCAACGTCTTCATGAGTGGACGGTCACGCTCCTCCAGTGAGTGCTGGGGCAAATTCCCGTATGAGCATTGGTATTGGAGCGGGGGAGGGGGGGAGGGACCTGAAATTTCACAGCATATCATAGCAGATTTCACTTGCTCAGGCATTAAAACCCAATGCCTTGGGGTGGGGGAGTGGATACAAGGAAGTTGCTGGTCAATACAAGAGACAGTTCCATGAAAAATAATCTTGTTAAGACCAAAGGTGACCTCAGAAGACCTTAGAGCAACTTGGATGTGTAGTTCAAGAAAATGTCAAATATGTTTAAGAGCAGCTTTTGCCAACTGGGTTTCCCTCCAGACACTTTAAACTATGACTTGGTTGTGATAGCTTGGGGTGATGGGAGCTGTAGTCCAAAACATCTGGAGGGAACTGGATTGGTGAAGTTTGGTTTACAGTCTCATGCTGGCATCTGAATGGGTTGAGGAACAAAATCTCCCTAAACATAAGTGTATGGCCATGGCATAATACTTTCTCAGAACTCAATAAATCAATATTGTTAGAGGCAATTTATTGAAAGGAATATGACATGGGTTTTGTTGCCACACGTGTTTCTTTTGTCCCACTATCACCTCTGGCAAGCAGGGTTTTAGAAACACTTCAGCGCCCCAAAAAACCTGTTTACCAGAGATGACAGTGAGAGGAGTATACACACTATGGGGAACAATCCATTCCTCATATCACCTCCAACACTGAAGGAAAAGAAGTATGTCTCCAGTCCTTTTATCTGCTCCATAAGAAGCTACCAGCTCAGTCAATTGGTTGTTTTCATGTAGATGCCCATTAAGAGGCCAAAATATGCTACACCTTTTTGACTGGCTTTTTCTCTAGTGGATTCCTGCAGGAAATCCTTGGGCTACTGTCACATGTTGTTGCCTCCATTTTATCTTATGTTATATTGAATTGAGGCTTACATTATGTTGAGTTTTGGAACCCATCAATTTCTGCCACATTTGCAGGAAGTGTGGTGAGGCTGCAGGGTAAAGCTTTGGCTACCTTTATTGAGAGCACAACACCATTGTTCTCCCAATTGGATATGCTGTGAAATAGTGGCTCCTGTCAGAACTTACAACAATGAAACACACCCACCCAGAATGTTATCATTGGTCAGGTTATACCTCTCTGTATCGCATTGTCCCATTGAGGGTACCTACACAAGAGTAGCTACTCATGCATAGAATTCCCACTCCTCACAGAGAATCTTAGGAAGCTGTGCAGTTAAGATGATTGTTGGGCACTTCTGATTTGGCAAAACAGGTTCCAGAAAACAGTTGACTTCATTGCTTGAAAATGAGAGTTATTGGGTGGCTATAGTATTTTCCCCCACTTCATTTCCAGGTGCTGAATCATTTGGTCTCTTCTCTTGTATTATCAATGGGGAGGAGCAAGAGCAGACACACCGAGCAGTCTTCAGGTGAGTGCAGATAAAATCTTTTGCCCCAGAATCCTCCCATCCACCCAAACAGTGGTGTTTTCCAACCTGTGGCCACCTGAATTGCAGAGACATCATCTAAGGCATAAGGTGTCTTCAGTGGCCTTGATCTATGGATCTCAGTTTGTGGTACAGATAGAAAAACATGCTTGGAACTGGGTTCTCACCCATGGAAGGTTTTCAATTCAACATTCAGGGTTGCCTATATTGGACGTTGGTTGTGAGGATTTGTTAAGCCAGGGGAGAAATTGTTTTTAGAGCTTATGTATGCAAATAACATATCCCTGTTAGCTTGATTTATAGGGTGCAAAAGAGTTGCCAAAAGCACACAAAACTCCATTCGTAATGTTAGGCTTTGAAAGTTACTGGACCAATACCCAAAATCCATTATGCCTGGTTGAGTCACAAATAAGTCTTCCTCACCGTGACCCTCACCATTGCAAAGCTGAATCCAGAGAATAAACACAGCTCCTCTAACATTCATCCCCTTGATTATATCAAAGGATTGATTATTCCTTAGATTTATTGAGCCTTCCTCACCAATAGCTCCAACCAGGCATAAATCAAAAGAAAAGTTTGACAATTCTTGAAATATTCTAGGTAGGTACAGTGGTGCCTCGCAAGACGAAAAGAATCCGTTCCGCGAGTCTCTTGGTCTTGCGGTTTTTTCGTCTTGCGAAGCAAGCCCATTAGCGGATTAGCGCTATTAGCGGCTTAGCGGTCTTAGCAGATCAGCTGTTAAGCGGCTTAGCGGATCAGCTGTTAAGCGGCTTAGCGGATCAGCTGATAAGCGGCTTAGCGGCTTGGGAAAAAGGGGGGGGAGGAAAAAAACCCTGCAGGAACTCGCAAGACATTTTCGTCTTGCGAAGCAAGCCCATAGGAAATTCGTTTTGCGAAGCACCTCCAAAACGGAAAACCCTTTCGTCTAGCGGGTTTTCCGTCTTGCGAGGCATTCGTCTTGCGGGGCACCACTGTAGTTTGTAACAACCCTTGCCTTAACCTGTGGTTCTTGGCATGGGCTACTTTTTCCAGAAACATGGCCTGTATATCAAGTTTTCACATACATGAGGTAGCTGCTTAGCAACAAGATGGAGTTCTAACCTTGTTCTGCACCCTAGGATTGTGTGGCTAGCTTAGGATACGGCCAGCTAACATTGCACATTCATCATGGCGTCTTCAGTGGGGTAGCAGCTGAGGAACAGCATATGGCAGTTTGAAGTAGCTACTTTTGTGGGGGGAGGGAGTTAACTATGGAGAATTAGCCCCTTCAGTCTTCCATAAGCATCTCCTCTGAGGTGGCACCACTCATGTGAGAAGTTATTTGCTAAGCCAAGCCTAGAGAAATAACATCTGTGCCAACATGCAGGCACTTTTCGTCTAGTTTTGACCCCAATACATAATTTTTTGCAGGTCTCTTTCTTGAACCTTACGATGGGCTTGTATCTTCAGAGCTTTAGTTAGAAATGTGCCCATGGTTTTCTCCTCAGGTTTGTGCCTCGTCATGAAGATGAACTGGAATTGGAGGTCGATGACCCTTTGCTGGTGGAGGTTCAGGCAGAAGACTATTGGTATGAGGCTTACAATATGAGGACAGGGGACCGAGGCATCTTCCCTGCTTACTACGCAATTGAGGTCACCAAGGATGCAGATCATATGACAGGTACTCAACCCATCAATGGCTCTGCTACCCATATCTGGCCACTTGTACCCATTCCTGCTCTGTGCTCATGCACTTCAAGTCCTGGCTCAGAGCTGTCTTGTAAACCAGGACTTTTCCTGAGAAATTGCTGACATTTCAGACATTCTTCAAAGTGGAAGGGGAAAAGACAAAGCTGGTGTACAAATTATCACTCTTATGAAGGAGTGTAGATGTTCACGGCTTGTGTGAACTACCGTCAGCTATGTCAGTAGTTAGAGCAACCAGAAGTCTGTTCCCTCCTAACTTTATGCCATGTAGGATATCTATGTGAATCAGATTCTTCTCACCTACCTTGAACTTTTGATTTTCAGATTCAAGCAAGAGTAGCGATTGGGTGGACCAGTACCGGGTGAAGTTTCTCGGCTCAGTCCAGGTTCCATATCATAAAGGCAATGATGTGCTGTGCGCAGCTATGCAGAAGGTACTGTCCCTGCCCATCCCTGTTAAGCCATGGTTTTCTCATGGGACATTTTCTTTGGTGGGAGGGAAAATGTGATGTTATTTTATTTAGAAAATGTATATTGTGCCTTTCAATGCAACTATTGAAAATACAACTATTCTCAAAGCAGAGAAGATCAAACCAACATACGATTAAAATGCCAAGAAAACTATCAGAAGGAGGTGTGTGGGTGTGTTAAGTTACCAAATTGGCACAGAGAGCCAGTGTGGTGTAGTGGTTAAGAGCGGTAGTCTCGTAATCTGGGGAACCGGGTTCGCGTCTCCGCTCCTCCACATGCAGCTGCTGGGTGACCTTGGGCCAGTCACACTTCTTTGAAGTCTCTCAGCCCCACTCACCTCACAGAGTGTTTGTTGTGGGGGAGGAAGGGAAAGGAGAATGTTAGCCGCTTTGAGACTCCTGAAGGGGAGTGAAAGGCGGGATATCAAATCCAAACTCTTCTTCACATTAACCATAAAAAGCTTCTTGGGTAAATAAACTTGCTTTTAGTGCCTACTTAAAAAGGCAAAGTCCTGAATCTGGAAGATCTCTGTAGGCAATTGGTTCTGCAGTCTCTGGGCCTCCAGCCAGAAAGCACTTTTGTGGTGGCTACCAATTCAATAGAAAATAGAACCACCAGGAGATTAGCTGCACTGTATCTTTAGGGAGGAGAATATACATGTGCAGATGGTCCCCATAGATATTCCAGACCCAGGCTGTGAGTGACATTAAGATGTCCATACCAGCATCTTGGCCTGGAACCAACTGGCAGCCATTGGAGCTCACATAGGATTGGTGTTATCTGCTCCCCGTGGCTGTTGGTAGAAATCAGTCTGGTGTTTGCATTCTAGACCAGTTGCAGCTTCTGAATAACCTTCAGGAACAGCCACGTTGAGAGTATGTTGCAGCTGTCTAGGTGGGAGGGTACCAGGGCATGGCACCACAGTGACCAGATCTCTGTCTTCTAGGAAGGGGTGCAGTTGGCAGATTGGTGGCAGCTGATAAAACATACACTTAGCCACTGCTTTGGACATAGAGTCCAGGAGGAGGCCTAGATTGAAGAGGCACACACTCCACTTTGCAAACCTGCTCTTTCTGGGGTAACCTCATTCTGAATAGGCTTTTCGTCTTTCTGGGGTAACTTCATTCTGAATAGGCTTTTTGTCACTCTGCTGGCATTTACGCTGCCCACTATATGCAAGTCCATCCTGAATGGATAAAGTTTCCATTGGTTCACCCTTATCCTGTACATTAGCAACATCTGAAAGTTATGTGTGCTTTCTGGAATCTTTCATCAAGATTCCTTGGTAACGCCATACCTAGTTCAGATGGAAGTGGTGGAACGAGAGCTAAAACATAGAAGGAATTAAGCAGTGGGCTTAAAGAGCCCAGAGCAGCTTGCAATAATAAAACCACATCATAAAACAACAGAATCAGTGTAAAATAATGCATCAATTAAAAAAATTGAAATACCGAACACCATACCTAATGCAGCAGAGAAGATTAATGAGTCATCCATACCCTCTTCACCCTTCACCAAAGGCATGAATAAGCCGGTGTGCTTCTAACTGTGGGAGAAAGGATGTCAGTGTTGGGGACAAGTGCAATAACTTGATTGAGTGGGAATTCCAGAACTGAGGTGCAGCCACAGAGAAGGTCCTGCTCATTTCATAGCCAGCCAAGCCATGCTCATTGGCAGAACCATGAGCAGGGCCTCCTCCACAACACTTAAAGCACTATCCAGGTGGTTTCGGGGAACGCACTCCTGCACTCCACCAAAAGCTATCATGGGTTATAAATATTAATACACTTAATATAGTATGGTGTAGTGGTTAAGAGCGATAGACTCGTAATCTGGTGAACCAGGTTCGCATCTCCGCTCCTCCACATGCAGCTGCTGGGTGACCTTGGGCCAGTCACACTTCTTTGAAAGTCTCTCAGCCCCACTCACCTCACAGAGTGTTTGTTGTGGGGGAGGAAGGGAAAGGAGAATGTTAGCTACTTTGAGACACCTTCGGGTAGTGATAAAGCGGGATATCAAATCCAAACTCTTCTTCTTCTTCTTCTTTTTCTTCTTCATGTTTCCCAGATAAGCTTCAAAAAAGCAGTTCTCTTGGTATTTAGTGTGGGAAAGATACCTGTGGAGGTTGCTTATTGACCAATGCCAGTGATATCACCGATGCCCCTCCTTATTCGCCGTCCATATAGCAGTTCTGCAACTGTTAATACTTCGCAATTTTTAAATAATGTGAAGAATGAAATTAACATATATGAATGTGGAGTGTGGGTGTGTATGTACAGTGGTACCTCAGGTTAAGTACTTAATTCGTTCCGGAGGTCTGTTCTTAACCTGAAACTGTTCTTAACCTGAAGCACCACTTTAGCTAATGGGGCCTCCCGCTGCCAGAGCACAATTTCTGTTCTCATCCTGAAGCAACGTTCTTAACCTGAAGCACTATTTCTGGGTTAGCGGAGTCTGTAACCTGAAGTGTATGTAACCTGAAGCGTATGTAACCCGAGGTACCACTGTATATGTATGCCAATTTATACAGCAATCTTGGGACATTATGTCTATCTTCAACCCTTGTCTCCTCCCACTCCCAAAACAGATCACCCATCTTCTGGTTTCAGGTACTTTGAAGTCAACGTTTCTTGAAACTGCCAACCTGGGAGGAGGAATGGGGACCCTAGTTTTATATTAAATGGGGGGGCCGATATTTTCCGTGAGAAGAGCAGTGTCACCAGAAACTCCAGATAGTTTGTGTGACAGCTGGTACAAATTTTCTGTTTTGGCACAGATTGCCACTACTCGCCGCCTCACCGTGCACTTTAACCCGCCCTCCAGCTGCGTCCTGGAGATCAGCATGAGAGGAGTCAAGATTGCTGTGAAAGGCGATGACTCTAAGGATCCCAGCAAGGTAGCTCTGCTCCCAGCACTGTTCCTGGGTTCTGTGCTCTCTGTGCCTCATGATTATTACATCTTCCAGCAGCTCAGTGCTACCCCTTGGCCAATAAACAAAAGTGAGCATGCAAATGAGAGCGATTTGCATATGTCCTGGCTGGCAGTGCCTCCTGTCTTTTCCTGAAGGAGTCTATTGGGGATTGGATAACAGGGCAGAGTCACATTCGTGCCCTGAAGTCCAGATGCAAAAGTACATGCTCCCAAGCTGTAGGTATATTAATGCACTGGAAGGTCTGTTTGCTAAGCTGCTCCGATAATCTACGAAGCATTGCTAAACCCGTCTGCTACTATTTTAACCGGTGTCCTGTGGATCTGTGCAGTAAAGCCTCTCTGCATAAGTAGCTCACATGGAGCTTTCAAGAGGAAGGAGCAAAGCCATTCAGAAAGTGCATTCTGTTCACAATGGAAATGCCCTACTAGAGTCAATCAAGGGCAGTGGACCTGAAAGCAGAAAGACTGGGAGAAATATATATGGTAGCGTGTTAATTAATTATCTGAGCTTGGGCTGTGTTTAATCAACACAGCTGGCTTCAATTTATTTTGCTTGAACAAAACATTTGTTTGAATGTATTACTATTTTTCAAATGTGTGTAGCCAACTGTCCCATTATTATATCATGTTTCGTACACTAACGCTAAAGTAGAATCCATTCAATTCTACCTCATGAAATGATTGTAACAGTACCAAGACCTTTTATTTATTGAAGGTTAAATGACACACAGTGTAAAGGCTGGGACGTTTTGTAGCTGGTACAAGAATATTGCTTGACTCTGATACTGCTGCAGCCTTCCTATAATCCTGAACCTGAAATCCCCGCTTTCGTATTCCTGCATAAGACCCTTTAGGAGAGAGTAAGAAGCTTATGATCTGGAACTAGTGATGCCAACAGGGTTTTCTGGACCCAGGACACTTGTATGTGGATTAGACCCTCTGCCCCACTCACAAAAGAGGATACAGATTTGCATATGCTTTGTGTCATACGGAAATTTATATAATCTTTTGTGAGTGGGATGAAGAGCCCAAAAATAGATAAGGAGCTGCACATCAGTAATATTATGTCTGAGAGGCAGAATGCCAGCAGGGGAAGCATGCTCTGTATTTATGTTTCCATACTAGAAAAGGTTTAACCTGTTAAATATCTGCCTGCCACACAGCTGTTAAAGGCACAAGGGCATTGCTCTCCTCCAGTACCAACCCTAAACCATGCAAAGAACTCCTGTTCCCTGAGTTGTTAACCTGCTACGTTACGCTTCATCAATTGATCTTAGGTTGGCATTACTATATTCATTTCAAGACCAGACACTATATTTCAGATGGTAGGGGAGGGTGTGTACCAAAAGTGGCATAAGAAAAACAGCGACTGAGGTTTAAATGCTCATGGCTGGATGAATTCAAGATTGAATGCAGTGTATTCTAGCAGCATTTGCTGTGGTTAGTTATTATTTTTATCCCTTAACAACTAGAACAATGTTATTAGCACAGGACAAACAGACACCCTTTTCTTTTTCTTGACCAACAGTAAGCAACTGTTGATTATCATACTGGGAAGAACAAGCTGCTTCCAATAATTCTCCTATTTCCCCCACCCTTTGGTTGAAAAAGCAATTAATCCACTTGACAGTCCACTTAACAACACCCTCAACTGCATTTCCCTAAGAAGAAACCAACACACCTAGAGGCTATTCAGCCCTTCCCTAGCAGGCCTGAATATAGCAAGCTAGGGCTACTTTGCAGGGTTGATGTAACCCACATAGCTCTCTCAGTTGCAGTACCCCTCTGTGATATGTATTTTGCATTAGCAGGATTTAAAAAAAAATAACATCACATAATATTGGGAAAAGCTCTTTTCTTGCATGAAATTAATTCTGAGTTAGAAAGAGCAGGAATCACTTACTTACTGTCCTAGCTGCTAATTTTGCTTTTAGGTAGACATGCTACTGTCCAATTACAGCTACACTAAAATCCTGGATTTTTCAGTTATTGTTTCTGGTCAACAATCCCATTTCTATCAGGGAAAGCCAAAGGAAGAGAAAAGCTTTTAAATGAACCTGGAAGATCCTTCAGAATGAATCAGGCAGTTCTTTCTCCATCTAGAAAAAAGTCACACATAGAGCAAGGAAGGCAATAAAATGGCTTCAAACCGAACCCGGCTGATGTTTTTCTCAAGTGTTTGGAGAAGGGACTTCCTTGGTCATTTTGGAGCTGTTTTTGGGTCTCTTCTGATGTGTGTGTGTAACATAGCACCTGTCAATCACAGCTGCGACTTCACTCATTGACTAAAATTGCTAAAAGATGGGAATAGGCTCATATCACACAAAATAGTCTATGCACATTTTCCTTCCTAACTTTCGTTCTACAAGGGCTAAGATCTAAGTAATTTAAATTGGACAAATCAGGAGTCTGGGGGCCCTACTCTGAGGCCAGTATAGCAAGACTCCTGTGACTTGATTTTCCTTCTCATCAGCCCTTCCTGGAATTTTCCCTGTACTTCCTACCATACAAGCTTTTGCAGTGCACAGATAAACTGTTGCAAGTTATACAATGGAATATCCTTTCCCCAAAACACAGCATGAGGTCCTTTTAATTTGTGACTTGGATCTCCCAAGTGTGAGGGATCCAAACACATTTTACTTTCCCTTTCCTTCAATAAATGGCTCTGGTTCCTCAACTGTCCTAACTCTTACCCAAGCCTAACATCTTGTTCTCTCCATCCTGCAGGGGAATAAATGTAGCCACTTTTTCCAGTTGAAGAACATTTCATTCTGTGGATACCACCCAAAGAACAACAAGTAAGACCCGGCGGATGGGCAAAATGAGTTCATGGCAAAGGAGACACACAGCTCTTCCTCCTTGCACTATCCTTCAGTGTACCCTAGGCAGTTTGGGGCTTTGAAGTGTAACTTGTATAGGAAGTTCCTGTGTAGCAATCTTCTTAATCCCTACTAAACAATATGCTTGATAAAGGTGGGATGGGCATATAACAGCATTGTGATCTTGTTAATCAGACTGTATCACCTACACTTATCCTCCACTTGGTACCAACATAGATTGACAGAAGCCAGAAGACAGCTGTGAATTTGGCGGGGTGTGTGCCCATCATTTGTTGGGGGTGGGGCATTGGCTTCTCAATCAAGCTTTATTTTTAGAGATCCAGGTGAGCTCTGTTGTCTCGGCTGCCGTTTACCAGCTTTGTCTGGTACACAAATTGCACAGAAAGAAATGTATTTGTCCCACTTCCTGCTTTTGCCCACACATGCAAAGCAAAACCAACGGCTTTCTCTTCAGGGAGGTATATTTTGTACCTGCAGGAAGAATGGAACCAATGGGTCTTGTTTCTTTGTTAGAGAATTCATTCCTAGCCTAGGATACCAGAAACCCAACCTTTAGCCCAAGCTCATGTATTGTATTTTCTCTTTCAGGTATTTTGGGTTCATCACCAAGCACCCAGCTGACCACAGATTTGCGTGCCATGTCTTTGTTGCAGAGGAGTCCACCAAACCACTTGCAGAGTCTGTAGGGTGAGTTTCAGGCTACATCCTGAAAATTCCTGCTATTTACAAAGATCCTAGTCTACCTGGATCTAAGAGAGGGGTGTGTCGGTTGCAAGTGGGTACTGGAGATGCCAGCAGAAGCATTAGTGGCCAGGGATCAGCCACTTTTCACCCAGCTCCCAACCCCCCTAGACAGTTCAGAAGGATACCATGGTCAACGGTATCAAAAGTTGCTGAGAGATCCAGCAGAACCAGGAAACAGCTTTGACCTCTGTCTCTAGCCCACCAGAGGTCATCAACCAGTGCAACCAAGGTGGTTTCAGTCTCATGATGGGGCCTGAATCCCAACTGAAAGGGATCCAAATGGTACGCGTCCTCCAGATGTGCCTGGAATTGTTCAATGACCACCCCGCTCAATCACCTTGCCCAAGAATGGAAGATCTGAGACTGGGTGATAATTGGCCATAATGGCCGGTTCCATATATGTGTTTAAAGGAGTGGTTTAATAACAGCTTCTTTAAGGGGGTCCAGGAAGACTCTCTCACTGAGAGAAGCATTCACCACCTCACTGAGCCCATTGCCCAGCCCTACCCGGCTCACTTTGATGGGCCAGGATCAAGGAGACAGGTGGTAGGTTTCACTCGTCTAAGCAGCCTGTCCACATCATCAGAGGTAGCAGATTGGAATTGATCCCATACAACCTGACTAGGCAGAGCTTTGGCACTCTCCCATCACAGCCCTTCTCCCATGATGGAATCCACCTCTTTCCAAATACTGTTTTCTGCAGATGCAATTAAGGTCCTCTTGGTAGGCTCAGTGTTGAGCTCTAACTTGTTGCTTTGCCTGTTCTGTGGAAGAATCCCAGCTCCCAATTGACTTTCCATTTCATGTTTTCTTTTTGCAGGAGAGCCTTCCATCAGTTCTACAAGGAATGTGTGGAATATACGTGCCCCACAGAGGACATCTACCTAGAGTAGGGGCCGGGGCAGCCCCCGCCCTCCTGTACAGACAAGGGCCATTCCCCCCATTGTGCATGGACAAGCTGCTTTGAGATGGAAGGAGGAGTGGGCGTGGGAACAGTGTTCCTCAGTGCGCAGAGCCCCACCTCTTTCAGTGCACCTCCTCTTTCCTTGGGCTGGGGGTTTGGGATGGGTGGGGTGGGTGGACCAAAAAAAAGGGTTTATTATCAGAAGAAGAAATATGCTTTTCCGTTCGTTTGTTTATCTGAAATAAAGCACCACCAGCGGAAGCAGGTGTTGCTGCCGCTGGTACAGGAGGAGAGTGGGCATGGGCACTGGGAGTGCCCACTTGAATGGGCTGCCTTGGTGCTACTGCGGGAGAGAGGGCTCCACGAGTTCTGCTCAAGTCTGTTTGGGGCCTGCTCTAGTTCTAGCTGCCGTGTTCAGCCCTTCACATTGGGAGTTTAGTAAGATGGGGATGCTGCTCTTCCACTGCAGAAGAAGGAATAGCTAATAAGCTTGGGGATGGTTGCAAGTAGTGAGCCCAGTCCCTGGCTGGGAATGGTGGGGTTGGGGAATAGTGGAGGAGGAGACAGAGAATGGGGGTGGTGGCCAGCTGCCCCGCCAGTTCCCAAGACATAGCATCCAAGTCTCTTATCCTGTGCCTGCAAAAAATCCGGGAACCACTGGAGGAACACTGGTGCCTGTCCTAGCCCCTCCCAGTTTGAAGGCATGTAGACAGCCAGGGAGGGCCCATGCCCTGGGAATCTGCTGATGGAAAGAGCTCCTCCACCCCGGCCCTTGCTCTAAATCTCCCTTCCCTCCATACCCGCTCTCCAGCTGCAGGTTCTGCATTCACGGAGGGAATCTGGACCCTGCACAGAACACGAGAGCCAGGGTTCATCTGATTCATCTGCATCAAGGGGCTTGAGAGGAGCTCCAGCCATAAGCACAAAATTGATTCAGGAAGGGCTTGGTCCCACGGAGAAGAAGCAAAGCTGGGAGAATAGCATGAGTGACTAGGGGCTAATAAGAGCTGCAGAAAGGTGTGCCTTTGCCCTTCTCCCCCCTCCCCCCCAAAAGCAGGGGGCTCTGTGCTTCTGCTCTAATGACAACAATGATTAAACGTTGATGTTTCAAAGAGACTGCGTTGCTGTTGTTTTGTTGCCCAAGGAGACTCAGGCCTCTAAGCAAACTGCTGTTTGAGCATTTTCCTGGGAATTGCAAGAGCCAAATTTGACATTCTGCTAGCCTTCCTTGCAGAGCCACACACAGCTGCAGCATAGCAACATTCCAGGTTCTGCAACTCCCATTTTGAAACCAAATTATAGTACATCAGATTTCCAGGGAAATGTCACACATCTTCAGTTTTCAAAAGTACAGGTATAAACCTTGCATAGGCTTATAAAAGTGTGGAAAGGTCCCACTGAATCAAATAGTATCGAATGACTATGTTGGGTATTATGAAACAACTCTCTCTTGTAGATCTCGTTGTTCTCAGAATAGCTTGGCTTTCAGACAAGGTGGAGAGCATTGCACTCCTCCATTGTCTCCCAAGACAGATGGATGCCAACTCCCTCCCATTTCCATTGAGGTTCTGTCTCCATATATTTGTGAACCTTGGTGTTGTGCGTGTGTCTTTTTTTTTGCTTTCAGATACAATGGGGAGGGGGCTTAATTTGTTAGTTATTGACAATGATTGAGAAGTCTTGCTAGAGTTTACCCAGCTGTTGGCCCCCTGCAACCACCAGAATTGTGTCACATTCCCCTATTCTGGTTAAGGGCTTTGAGATGTCAGAATCCCAGGACCTCAATGGACTCTGCCACAAAATCTTCTACTAGCCTCTTCTCTAGCTAAATATAGATTGTATGTTGGCAGCTCTGTTGTTGCCAGTTAAGGAAAGCAGCCAATTATTAAGCGGCATTCAAAGGGTTTTGGGTCTGCATTTCTACCAGATGTTTGGGAGACCCTAAAGTAGGGATGGGGAACCTGTTGCCCTTCAGATGCTGTTGGACACTAATAAACGTTGATTATGGGAATTGTCGTCCAAATATCTGGAGAGCCATTGAGGCACTTAACTTTTCTCAAAACAAAAACACTTAATTATAGACCAAAAAAGCCCTAAATGAAATCAATTTTGTCAAATATGGAACTGTATATATATTTACATTATACAATTCAACTCATAGTAGTCAGCTTCCATAGAATCTGGAATTTTATTGTGCAGCGGGAGCAAAGAATAGAAGAATTGGCATGAGGGGAAGAAATATTGGACCCATAATAAGAAGAGTCATGACAGTGGTGGCGAGGGAGAGAAGACAAAGGCAACAGAAAGCTGTGGCCAACTCAGTCCCAGCCTCTGCAGCAAAAAACACCTCCACCCATCTCTGGCCCTCATCAAATTTTTCAAGCTTTGCTCAACACCCATAAGAGTTAAAACATGAGATGTGAGCCAAGACCTTGCCCTGCTGAGTAAGTGCCATGCCTGTAGGGTGGATGCATAGAGCAGACAGAACTGGGGGGATGGGGAAGAGGCATGCAAGTGTGAAAGAGCAAAGGAAGGGGAAGATCTCGCTTCTTACATTACTAGGTGATTTGGGTTTGAGGGGCTTTTGCTGCCTGTGACAGATCAATTAGCTGGTGCAAGTACACTTCAGAGGTGGCACCTCTATTTGCATTTCCCTAAGAGACTCAAAGGAGGTCGTCGTAATAATACTCCTCAAAATTTGGCTCATCCCGCTTGCTTTTGTGTGCTTTTTGCAGCTTTTCCGATTCCTTCCGCTGTATCCGTCTCTGGAAGTTGGGCATCTTTGGTTTAATGCCATAATCTGTGAAGACAGGAGCTAGTAAGAGAAGTGTGTGGCAATGGCAGGGCAGGAAGAGAAAAAAATCACATAGGAGGATGTGGAAGCGAAGGCTCACATGGCCCTAAGAGGGGCATATTATGGGATCTTCGAGGCAGTTAACTAGAAGGCAGGGTTGGGGAAACTGGAGGAGGGATTCACCTACTGAGCGCTGCCAGCAGAAGCTCTGTGCAAAAACTTCTGCCTGCACAATAGGGCTTTCCCCTCTCCTCCCGCATAAGAACCTCGTAAGAACCTCATGCAAGCTGAGGAGAAGGAGGGTGGTTCAACTGGCACACCAAAATGCTTGCAGTGATGCAGTGATAAGAGCGGCACATGGGGTTCCTCCAATGTTGTTGGACTCCAGCTCCCATAAGCCTCAGCCAGCATGGCCAGTGGTCAGGGATGATAGGTGCTGTGGTCTGGCACCATTTCAAGGGCACCAGGTTGCCCACTGGTGCTCTAAGGATTGACTTATTTGAACCAACAGGGCATCCTAGGGTGCTTAAGGCACATGGTTGTCATGTTTGCTAGTGAGTTTAGACTTCTTGGCTTAATAAGCAACAGTGGTGGCATTCAGAGGCGTTGTGTCAAAAGTCAATCAAGAGTCTTGCCTTATCCACTTCCGCCCACCTCTCCCTACAGAACCACATTCAAATTGCTTCCATTCCATACAGACTCAAATGAGGGGCTGAAATTGATAGAGGGGAGCTTTTTCTTTCTTTCTCTTGAATCCAGAAAATAGATGGTGCAGCTGGTCATGGAAGAAAACTCAAATGATCTGATACAGCTGAGTTTTGTTGTGGGCGATGATTATTATATGATATGATAACAACAATAATACTTATTAGTTGCTCTCTCTTTTACAAAAAGTAAACTCCAAATTTTGTTTTTATTTATTAAATTTGTATTCCACCCTTCATCCGTAGATCTCAAGGAGGTTCATAGCATAAAAATACAAGATAAAAATACATAATAAAAAGAAACAAAGCAATAAAAAGCCCTCCCACAAACACATTTAAAAGAATGTTGATCAGCCAAAGGCCTGGTTGAAGAGTAACGTTTTTGCCTGGTGCCTAAAGGTGTATAATGAGCCTCCCTGTATAACGAGCATTCCACAAATAGGGAGCCACTGCAGAAAAGGCCCCTTCTCATGTTGCCACCCTCCGGACTTCTCGTGGAGGAGACACACGAAGAAGGGCTTCAGATTATGATCGTAAGCTCTAGGTAGGTTCGTATCCCATGCACTAAAGGAGGGAACAGTATCTAAAACTCTCCAAGTTAAAGGCCTAGCTGAATGGCAATATTTTTGCCTGGTTCCTAAAAATTGCCAGTGGCAGTACTAGGCAGAGCTTTCCATAAGCAGGGAGCCACCGCTGAAAATGACCATTCTTGTGTTGCCACCCACCCCACTTTCCTTGGAGAGGGCACACAGAGGACAACCTCAAACCACATGCATGATCCAGGTTGGTTCATGCTGGGGAGAAGCAGTCCTTCAGCTGCATAAGGCTTTATAGGTCAAAACCAGCCCTTTGAATTAAGTTCGGAAACTTGGTATCCGGAACAGTGACGCCATAATAGGTTTGAAATGCCCAGACCAGCTTGCAATGGTCAGAAATGCCTCTGCTGCAGCTTTCCCTACCAACAGATCCCCAAGATGTTGGATTATGACTTCCACCAATCCCCTATGATTACTTTTGCTAGCCAGGAATAACTGGGCTGTAGTCCAATGACATCTGGGGACCAAAAATTGGGAAAGGTTTCTCTTCTAATAACCTGGAAGGGACTTTTTTTTCCAACTTGTGCCTATATATTGACGATCCCTTTGCCCAGAGGTAAGGACTACAACTCCCATCAGCCCCAGCGAGCATAGGCAAGGGTCAGGGGTGGTGGGAACTGTAGTCCATCAACATCTGAAGGGCAACACATTGGCTCTCCTTGCCCTATGCTGTTGCGTAGTAGGAACTGGAAGGAATACATGCCATCCACCAGGCCAAAGTGCTGCTGCTGGAGCTCCAGGGGTGCAGAGAATTCCTCTGGGACAGACGGACTGAGCCTGCTGCAGAAGAGGACAAGGTCAGGAACTGCAATGGTTGCTGCCTAAAGCCCTGATCTTATGGACTATTAGTGCGGAGGGAGTTCCCCACGTGGTTATTTCAAAACACCTTCCCAGCCAAATAATAATTTATAAAACAAAGCACAGAGCACTAGCCCAAATGTGCAATTAAAACAAGTGCAAGTGCCTATAATAAATCCTCCGTAGTTAAAAAACTTTCCTCCAAACCGTAATATATCCTCTTGATCAAGGAATTATAGATGTAATCAAATCACATTTTGAAAATGCAACTATTTAAAACCTTATTAACTAATTAATTTTATCTGTTTATTACATCACTTTCCATTTATAATGTCTTGTTTGAAAAGCATGTACAGACCCGAAAGATGGTGGATAACTGTGCAGTATTTACTGAAGATCTTATTTTCGTATCGCCTGTGGCCCCATTTCTGCCGCCCCCCACCCACCCACCCACTTCTGCATCTTTCTTCAGAACATCCAGCAATGCAGTGATTTCAAGCATTTATCATAATCAAGGGGTTTGCATGAAAATCTAAATTCTCCAAAGAAATGAGACTTGATACATCTTTAAAGTGGTTCACTATACCAAAACAGTGATGGCCATTACACTAAAATGCAACATGAAAATCATGCTCTGATTCAGCCCAGTGCTGTTTGGTGGTTACGACTTTTAACCCTGGTGAAATTCTGTCTAATGATACTCTTTGAGGCCTCCCTTCCTTTCTTTAGTCCCCCAACACACCCTGAAGAAGAATGAGCATAAGCCACATATTGCAGTTTTCTTTTCTTAGTGCCAGCAGCAGCAAAGTATCCCTAAAATGTGCCTGCTGACAATTTCAATAGGAATTAGGGCATGTGAGATGGGTTTATCTACCCAGATGTTGAGCCTTTGGAATATAATCCTACTGCTAGCTGTTGTTTTATATTTGGCACAAGTTTCCTTTGAGAAGGGGTCATGCACTGAGACTTAATGGCTATCTCTGATTTAACCTGCTGCCATGATTCCTTAATAAAGTGTGCCTGATTCCTAAAGAAAGACAGACAAGTGGCTTTCATTTCAAATGACCCACTTTTCTTCACCCTCATTCCTTGCCACATCTGGGTGGCAAGAGTCAGGTATACAATTCGTTGTACACATTTATTTTCCCCTAATGGAGAGTGCAGGACCACCAAGCAGTGTTTTACCTTTGAAGACTTGGCATGGACAGCCCTCTCTCTGTGAGGAGAAGCAACAGAAGCAGGAATCCCATCCGGCCAGTCAAATGGGTTCCTACCCTTATCAGCTTTCAGCAATGGAACTTAAGACAGCTCCCAGTGCCTACAATGCCATCACAAAGGGTAAAGAACACACAGCATTCTGACTCCTAGGTAATGGGCCTGCCCAATGAGGGCCAGCCTAAGAATGCAACTTGTGCAGCCCCTTCGGAAAAAGTGAGCCAGTGTGGTGTAGTGGTTAAGAGCGGTAGTCTCGTAATCTGGGGAATCTGGGGAACCGGGTTCGCGTCTCCGCTCCTCCACATGCAGCTGCTGGGTGACCTTGGGCCAGTCACACTTCTCTGAAGTCTCTCAGCCCCACTCACCTCACAGAGTGTTTGTTGTGGGGGAGGAAGGGAAAAGGAGATTTTTAGCCGCTTTGAGACTCCTTAAAGGGAGTGAAAGGCGGGATATCAAATCCAAACTCCTCCTCTTCTTCTTCTTCTTCTTCAGAAAAAGTGTCCTCTCGGACAAAGCTGCATCCTTCTACAACTCTTCTAGCTGAGCCCCATTTCAGAGAAACAAGTTTCATCCCACATGATGTACTTTCTCATCAGGCATAGCTGATCCTATGCCCACTTTCTTCCCATGAAGTCACATTCTCTAGGAACAAGAGGAGAGCCCCAGCTTATGCGTCAGCCAGGCTTCAGTAACACAGCATCAAAGTAACTAGTGCACGCATAGGCAAACTTGGCCCTCCAGATGTTTTGGGACTACAACTCCCATCACCCCTAGCTAACAGGACCAGGGGTGATGGGAATTGTAGTCTCAAAACATCTGGAGGGCCGAGTTTGCCTATGCCTGAACTAGTGAGTTAGGCAGCTGTGTGAGTTCAACAGTAGAGCGAGGAGACTGAGGTATACTGCACTCCCCCCTCTCACCATTTCTTTTTACCTAACAAAGACCAAACTCCAAAGTGTATTAATAAACAACTGGTATAAATTCTAGCACATATGAGGGGGCTATCAAAGGTGCTGTTCTGTATAATAGATGTGTGACTATCTGCCTGCTGAACATTATGTCCTTGGTACACTGAGCTTGTGGCTCGCAGGGGACAAATTTTTTCTCTTGAGAATCAGAGAAGTTGGTGGATGAAGCCTTCAGGGACATAATAGGATAATCCCACTCTCTCCAGCTTTCACAGAGAAGGGGGATCTGTCAGTTGCTTGCATTAAGGTGTCACAACAGGCATACAGTGTATGTTTGGTCCTGTTTTAAACTGCCCTGAACCATGTGGTTCAACTTATAGGGCCAGTCTTCATCATATGGAGACTAGAAACCCGATTGTAACTTTTCTCTCTCACCTACCCTTTCTTTAAATTCAAATTCTCCATCTCTCTCACTTTAGTTTTTATTTATGCTTTATTTTGAAGACTGGTGAGCTAGTGAAAATGGGCTTCCAATCAGTCTAGCTACTGGTCACTGCTACAAAACTGTGGAGTAGGAAAGAAGGGGAAATTAAACAAAGGCCTCTTGCCAGTAGTGACTGCAGTAGTCTATCGTTTCACCCATAAATCCCTCCAAGGACCCTCCATAAGGAGGTGACGGCACCTACCAATTACAGGGAGAAGGTAGGAAGATGGGGATGAAACCCCAACTTCCAACAAACTTGAGAAGTTTGTGTGCCATCTGAAAACAGGACAGATTTTCCTTTATCAGCAAGCTTGCTGAAATGACTGATAGTCCTCCTCTACTAAACAAATTGTTCTAGTACATAGATCCTTTCCCTGGGATTGAGAACATTTATTTCCTATGGGTTTGGTTTTCGTTTTGCAGGAAAATTGTACTACACAGCAGAAAATGGAGGGCAGTTTCCCCCACCTGTCTGTTGCAAGGAGGCTATTGCTAGCTTTGGAAAAAGAAATCTACAAGCTGAGCACTCTCCATACTGCCTTCTGAACCTGGTGGGCCCTGATTCATGGCAAGCCCTTCCAAGTATTCAGCCTACCACTGCAGAAACAGACTGAAGATGCTGGGAAGTGGCCTATCAGTAAATGCAGCCTTAGCAAGAAGGAAAAACAGACCGTGCCAGTAAGTAACCGAGGAGGTAGGCAGCACAAGCACTTTGTGCTCCATCTGCTGCTTTATGGGTGGAGAGAGTTGATGAAGCACTCGATTACTTACTTCTTGGACGCCTTGCATAGGGCAACCATTCTGATTTATTTGACCCAGGCATCGGCTCAGGCCTTTATGTTTTATTTGCTGGGAACTCAGTTCTGCAGACACCAACCAATTTGCCGAGGCCTTTGGCCCTGCTTGCCAGCACCTCCGCAACCGGCAGTTTGTTCAGCGAAGCCCTGCAGCACACACTAGCTGTTATCCAGGCAGTCTGCAAGCTGTGGAGCTGCATATCCTCAAGGGCAGGGCAGGAAATTAAGCAGGCTGGCAGAGAAGACCAGCAGCCACAGCCCCTGGCAGACCAGGCTCCAGCCGAGCAGCATATGGACCACTGGAAATAAGCCAAGGAAAAAAGCATCCCCAAGAGCATTCCTGGCTTGCTGCCTGAGCTGGCCCAAGGGGTGCTCAGTTCCCTGCCAACCACAGCACCAAACTGCATATGTTTTTACTGTGAAAGACGAGGTGGGGTGGGGAATAAGCCTGGCTGTATAGCCAGAAAAGGGTAATGGGTTTGTGCAAAGAGCAGCAATAGCTTATTGTGAGTCTGGAAGCAGCCTTTCAGTGATGACTCTGGATTATGTGCCAGATAATAACACTAAGAAAATGGTTTGGAGCACATATCCTCACAGGGTTAATTCCAATGATCCAATCCCACCCCTTGCATCTGAGAATGGTGTGCATGTGTGCGTGTGCACAAGGGGAAACATTTCCAGGCTGGTTTGAATGCTAATTTTTGTCTCACCTCAGAAACAAAGCACTGGCAGCGTCTGCAAAACTCTCTGCCTTCCATCCCAGCTGGCCAGAAAGCAAGAGCCCTTACTCCTCCTGCGAGGCACGTCCCCAATATTCAAGAGAACAGACCAAATTAGCCCAAAAGCACTGCCGACTCCCGGCTTTATTCATTCATAGCCATAGAAAATACATACCAAAAAAAAGGGTCCCCCTCCATAAGCCCCATGAGATCCAAAACCATATATCAGAATGGAGAGAGGAGTAGCATAGGAACCTTAAGACCTACTCTTTGTAGCATTCTTAGTTCACAGGGAGATACATAAAAAAAAAAAAGATGTCAGAAGAGCCCTTACTCTTCTCTCGGTAATCATTAGCATAAGCCATAGAAAGACACATGTTGTGTTGCTGCTGCTGCTGCTGCTGTTCTTTAAAGTCTCAAGGTTGCCTCCCACTGTATAAAGTCATCCACCACCACAAGCCTCTGCTTTTAGCCTGAGCGCCCTCTGGTTGCAATAACCTGAGCTGAGGCCAAATCAACCCCAGTTGTAGAAATAAATTTTCTGCCAGGCTGGCAAGTAGTCCATCAGTGGCCCTGAAATGAAGAAGGGAGAAAAATGTGAAAATGAACTGGAAGACCTTAAAGCAACATGTGAGAAATTAACTTGCCAACATTTGCTTCCACAACTGCCCCTTCCCAGCCAACATCCTGAGTTCTGAAATCACAGGTGGGGCATATGAAAGAAAGGATGTGGAGGGCTATTCATAGGGCAAGAAGAGAGATCTAATATTCATATATCTAAAGGAAGGACTGATATGAAATATATCTCAGGAAGGGGTCCCTTGCATAGAACCCCTTTGTCTTGACAGAAAAGATGTTTTGGAGAAGGAAAACCGACCAATAATAATAACTGCTATTCCTGTGTTGCTCAACAGTCTGGATTCTGCACAGAATCGTCATTGTCAACTCCTAAAAGTTGCTATTTATTCAGACAATTTGTAAGCCATGCCTTCATCCAAAACATGTACATTTTTTTAAAAGCAAGTATCAAAACAGTGAGCAGCCTTCAATGTAGCACTGAGATGCTTTGGTTAGGCAAGCAGAATTGCTTACACTGAAGGAACAATCTCGTCTTTCCTCCGGCCACATGCTGCTCTGATGGTTCCCTGACTGCCCCCCCACCACCACCACCACTGTACTAATACTAGGAGGAGATTTTAATGAAATATTAGATCCCAAGCTAGATATAAACAGGGAAGGAAACAATCACCAAATATATGGAAGATTGATGTATCCTACTAAAAGAGAAGGTACATTTTATTCAAATGTGCACCAGCATATTTTTAGGCTGTGGAGATACGTATGTGACAATAGCAGACAACGGCAGCAAAGCATTTTTAGTAGCCACACCTAAAGTCTTTGAAGAGACATTTCAGCTTCACAGATCCTACTGCCAACTTTTCAAATGTGGAGATCTTCTAGCCCTGCTGCTATCCTTGAATACCCCTCAACTAAGCACATGCTGAGTAGAAAGCCCCTTGAACTGGTTATCCCAAAACCAATGGAGGATTCTCCCCTACAGTCTCCTTAACCTTTATCAGCTTCCTTTAAAAAGACCGATCACAGCAGTCAGCTACTTACGAGTGACTAAGCCAACTCCAGGGACGTAATCTGCCAGCAGGCGCAGCAGAAAGAGGATCCTGCCCCTGAAGGAACAGAGAGAGAGAGAAAACACATCTCAGATGAGCCCATGAGAATGGCTTCCTTCCCAATGGGAATGGGACTCTTGGAATGGAGCTTACAGACAAAACCCGTTTGGGTGCTGAATGCTCACAAGCCACGGGTTTCTCTTTCAGAAATCCAGAGGTCTCCTTGTGGGGGTGGGGATTTTAATATGGTTGAAAAGAAGCCAGCCAGGCAGCCTTACTCAGAGTATCTATCATAGAAAGGAGATCTCAGCAGGTAGTACAGCAGCAGGAGAGTCCGACGCCTCAGCTCCACACGCTCGCGCTTGTTGAGATCTTTCATGTCACTCAGTAAACTCAAACTGCAGAAGGGAAAGCAGAGAAATCACAAGGGGCTGAATATGTGTGTGTGGAGTGCCAAGCTATTCTCCCAATCATTTTTTTAAAAACAGGAGTGCAACTAGGCCTCAAGCCTGCTTGAGAGTAATACTTGTTGACCTGAACGATATTCCTCCTAATCTAAGTGGTGAGGAATTTGACAAACACACACACACTCCCTCCCTGTTTCTCACTCTCCCCTTCCCACTTTTATGTTCCAAAGTTGAGTCCTGCTGCTGAAAATGAGTTCCAGAGGTGCACCCTGGTTCAAAGGAAGCCTGGCACCATCTCTCAGAGAGCAGGGCCTGTAAGACAGAGTTGTTCCCCCTGGCCTTTGGCTTAGATTCAGCCTGATCCCCTCCCCCTCTTTCCTTTTCCTTCTGTGATGGAACCCCTAATTGGGGACTTCCCTGGCTTTTTGCTTTTCTCTGGCCCACGTAGGACCAGTCTGGATAGTTGACCTTGGTGAAGATCTGACGTTTTCTCCCCCCAAACAGTTTTTGATCTGGGCTTCCACTGAAATGAGGCTGCATTTTAAGTTGTATTTTAATCCTGTTTTTAAGTTGTATTTTAATCAATTGTTTTTATACTTGATGTTAGCCGCGTTGAGCCTGGTCTTGGCTGGTGAGGGCGGGGTATAAATAAAATTAAACAAACAAACAAACAAATAAATAAATGGAACAGGAGGACAGCCCGGCAGCCTCTGCCATGAAAGATAAAGCCCTCCTTTTCCTGCCAGCTCCTCACAGCGGGGCTGCTTCTCCCCTTGAAGCTGCAGAGAGGCACACCACTAGTGGAGTAAAAACAACCAGGTAATCAACATTTTACAAAAAATTTAAGGTGAAAGAAAATGGATCCAGGATGATGAAATGCTTTTATCCCAACTGACCTTGAGATATCCAAGACTGCTGAAAGGAGCCAGGGTCTCCAAGATCTCTGTCCCCATAAGCCTACGCTCACCACTATGTGCAAGAGTTAAGGAACTGAACAGACAACAGGCAAAAAACTATAGAAGCAGAAACACTTCCCAACCGTCTCATGAGCCCATGGGGGCTACAGCAGCAAAAATTAAAGCAGGATCAGAATAACAGGGGACGTTAATTGGGGCAGATCTTCAGGCCCATTGACTGAAGCAAAGCCTCCAAGAATTTGCCCAGGAGTCAAGACCCGCTCAGCATTAAGGGCCATGATGCTCCACACTGGGGCTGCAGCTCTCTCTGGTGGCGTACAGGATACACTGCAGGGAGGATACAGTGGAGCAACGGGCGGGTAATGTAGATGGACTCAGCAACTGTTTCCTGGGCGCTCAAAGGGGTTGGCAGCTGGTCTGTCTCCATTGCTCTTCGGTTCTGCTTCTCCTCCCTTTGCTGAGGTGCTCCCCAATGTCTGGAGTGCAGGGATGGGGCTAAAATTAAAAAGGAAGAAAGAAAAAGACTCAGCTTTTCATGGGTATCATACTTTGGATGAGTAATAACAACAACAACAACAATTTATTATTTATACCCTGCCCATCTGGCTGGGTTTCCCCAGCCACTCTGGGCAGCTTCCAACAAAATATTAAAATACAATGGTCTGTTAAACATTAAAAGCTTCCCTAAACAGGGCTGCCTTCAGCCATCAGCAGAATGTCTGCATTCTCTGTACTTGTGCATCAACTTATTTAATTTCTATCCTAACCTTCCTCCCAAAGACCCCCAGGGCAGCCAGCTATCAATCTGTTAAAACAATACAATTTAAAATAAAATAAAATAATTTAAACTATCTAAACCCTTTTTGTACTGGTATGTCGAAAACTGCTGCCGTTTATGGAGATGCCCTTGTGTGTCTGAGTACATGTATACATGTGCACACTTTACATTTGCGACCTGGCAACACATGCAGAAACCTAGTTCTACCGTAGGTGTAACATGGGAGACAAACGAGAAAGATACTCACTGCTATCGAGAGATCTCACAACACGGCTACAGCGCTTCCCCACATATATCCGCTCCTTCCCTATTGAGTTTACCTCCATATCTGTCAGGAGACAGGTAAATAAGACCACAGTAAGGGGCAGGGGGAAAGCCCTCCTCCACTCCAGTTCATGATCTGTTCAGGTTAGCACATTCATTGAAACAGAACAGCAGACTCACAGGCATGAGGATACATTAAGTCTGAGGAGAAATGTGACCCTCTGCAGACTGCTGACACTAAAGAAAAGCCTGGACAGGGCACCAGAAAATGCTCTTCAAACTTTCTAACAGGGAGGAAGACTGCAAGTCCCAGGCACATCATGCCACAAGCTAAAGCCTAAAAACAGGGATAGCCAATGAGATGCCCTCTAGATGTTTTTGGGCTATAATCTCTTATCATCCCTGACCAATGGGCTATGCTGGCTGGGGCTGATGTGAGTCCAGCAACAGCTAAAGGGCCATAGGGAGTTCAACAGTGTGCAAAAGAGTCTGCAAAAACCGAGATGAACATGTGGTGAAATGACAAAGATTTTCTGCTGCTCAGGTTACACAAAGCCTTCCTTTTCTCAAACCTAGTCAATCAGTTGGCCGGCATTTGGAACTTCCTTCCTGACTAAAGCCAAAGTGGTTGCAATCCACCATGCACCTGACTCACCTTTCTGCTGCAATGACTGCCTTCTGTCTAGAGGCACAATAGGAGGAGATGTCTGGATGCCAGTTTTGTACCACAGCAAGAGCAGGAGGCGCAAGATGGCCCTGTGGGTTAGAGCAAATCAAGGGCTATAAATGCCAGGCGCACACTAGACGCTTCACTGCCAAGGCGGTAGAAAGATACAGCTCTCCGATTTGCCATGACAGGACCATTCATGCAACCTTGCATTTGCAACCCTGTTCAGTGATATGTGTACAGTGAGGTTCCCGTCAGGTTGCTGCTGTTACCAGAAGTTCCACCTAAAATCACTGGAAGAGAAGGAAGAGTTAAGACAGCAATCAAGTGAGGGATGCAGCTGGGGAACTGTAACTGAAGGAATCCCAAAGGCATACAGCTCCTTGGGCAGGCCCAGTTGGAACAAGGTGCTATCTGAGTACAATGACCCAATCCAGTCCCATGATGGAACACTGCAACTAGGGAACATTGTAAAACTAGAACAGTGCTCTCAGTGTCATGCAGGAAGTGCCCAACCTAGAGTACAGTGGTACCTCTGGTTACGAACTTAATTCGTTCCAGAGGTCCATTCTTATCCTGAGGCGCACTTTCGCTAATGGGGCCTCCCCGCTGCCCATGCGCCAAAGGTGCATGATCTCTGTTTACATTCTGGGGCAAAGTTCACAACCAGGAGCAGCTACTTCTGGGTTAGCGGAGCTCGTAACCTGAAGCGTTCGTAACCAGAGGTACCACTTTATTGTGGCACATTAACCCTAACAATCAAGGTTCCAACAAGGGTCTCTTTCCCCCGCCTCCCACCAAAGGATTCACATTTTCACCCTTGGGATTCGCAAGGTGCAATAGTTCCTCTCCGTTGAACACTCACTTGGCCAGCTGGATGAGGACAATGATGGCCCACCGGCCAGTCTCGCCCCACACCTTGGCTGCCCCCATCTCAGCAAAGACCTCCACGCATTCGATGACACTCAGCCATGTCAACAGTTTCTGCTGGGGAAGTGCCTGCAAAGCAAGAGGCAAGTGAGAGACAACATGATGCGACCAGCTTCAAGGCATAGCCAAAACTGTAGCAAGGTGACTCTGTGGGGGCTGAGAGGAGGAATGGATCAAGAGTCCCTCATACAAAGGAAAGTAAGGGAACCAGCTGGATTCCAGTGGCCCTACCAGCTTTAAATACCCTCGCACAGGCTCACCAATCACACAACAACAAAGATCTGTGTGCCACAGTTGTGTTTGCCTGCAGGTAAAGAGGTTAGCCGAACTCAAGCTTTCCTGACAAATAAGTTAGCAAAAAGTCTCTTGGGACACATGGTGGGGGTAAGTAACAGAGGATGGCTACCTTTCTCATTCCCTGCTTACAGATCTCTGCTGGGAAGTCACTGTTTTACAACATTGGATCAAATCAGCCTTCACCAATCTAGGGCATGTCATGTGCTGACTAGGGCTGGTGCAAAACATCTGGTCCAAAACATCTGGAGAGACTCAGCTTGGCAAAGGCTGAATTAGCTGGATCTTTAATCAGCAACCTCTTTCTCATGACCATAAGAAGTGGAACAGTAAGAGCCATTTATGTTGGGAGAAGAGTTCTGCATTCAGTGTTAATAATGCCTTTCTGCAAACTGCCTACATTGCAGGCTGCAATCTTAAGGAAGACTAGGAAGTAAGCTCTCTTGAACACAGCAGAACCTGTGATGTGGGTTTTTCAGAAAATTTCAAGATGGGAAAAACATATACAAATTAATGTAATTTGCATTAAAAATAGTTGGCACTGGAAAATTTTCTCATGCCCTAGAGAGTGATCTAATTTAGCGTGTTTATTCTACTTGTGCTTAGTAAACAAAACACATTGAAACTGCCAAGTTTGCCTTATACTATATTTGTAATTGGCATCCATTTAATCATTAATAATGAGTTTATGAAAACAGAAAGCTTTCCACAGAAAAATGAAGGACTGGAAAAAAATTCTATCCCACAATACTGAGTGGGACTGCTTGGTGAGTCAAAATGCCAGGACTGCACAACTGAGCTACACAAATTCTTATAATCACAGGGCTTTAAATAATAAAATTATTAATTATCATCATCATCATTTATTTTGTCAGTCCCCTGATGGCCGAACAACCTGCTCCCTTTGTCTCCAAACCTTCAATACTACCCCATATCCTCAAACTTTCCTTTAAACTCAGAAGGGCCTGATGCTTTCTGTTCTACCACCACAACTGAAATGGAAGAAGATCCTAAAGAATATATTGATTTCAGTGAAAGATCAATTGGGCTCCTTCACCCGCACTCCCACCCCAATCCTCAAAGGGAACTACATAGAGTCCAGAATTCATGTGGTGCACACCAGGTAAAGAAAGAGTTGGATTTTGAATGGCTCAAGAAACTGGTGTCACTCACAGTATAAGCCAGCAGTATTCCTGGAGGCCACTGTAACTTTCATCAACCTTCCAGAATGTTGTGGCGCAAGCAGACAAGGGCTGGCAGATGCCCAAGATTCAACCAGATAGCAGCAGCTTCAGAATCTATTGCCAACAGAATAAAATCCAGGAGCGACATTCTAGTCCTTGGCATGGGAGACAGGGATTGTACCCCACCTGCCTATTCTCTTGCATAGAAAAGATTCTTACCACAGAAAGAGGGGGCTGCAGCTCTTTCCGAAGGATCCAGTCATTCAACAGCACCAGCAAATTGGAGGCAGAATAAACTGAGAAAGGAAAAGGTAGAAAAGGCACAGAAAGAATTACTGCTTATAACCAGGAAAAGAAAAAGGCCACTGATTAGAAGAGGACACTGGTTTAATCAAACAACCTTTTTTTTTTTTGAAGGAGAGGCAACATGAAGGTAAAGTGAGCATTGCCATCTCTGGGCAGGTCTTCACAATTATGCAACTTTCTCAGTTGCACATAGGTAGCCAAGCGCTTTGGCCCTCTTCCATAATCTGGTGCAATGGGTGTATGTGGTAAACAGATCCGTTCATTCTTGCACTTGGCATGATGCTATCAGATGGTATATCTTTATCACTATAAATGCTATTTCAGAATGGATGTTTGCTTATAGTCTTCAGAATACCTTTGACCTGAGCTAGGCTGCTAGCACCTGGCAAATATTCTGGCCTTATTGAAGTAGGATGGCTGTTGCAAGAAAGAATGAGCAGAAGCAAATCAGATACAAAACAGACAGTAATTTGCTTGTTGTTTTTAATTAGATATAAATGACTTAGACATACAGGATCTGAACATCAACTTAATGGAGTGAAACTAGCCATTTGCTGGCAGTTGCCTAGGGCATCAGAAAACATTCACCATTACCATTTATTTATTTAATGTATTTATACACTGACTTGAGAGTGAACTGAAACCCAACAAGATGAAAGCACTGTTGGTAGGCAGTTATTGTGTCTGGGAGTTGCAGAGAAAACCTCTTCTAGATGAAGTCACAGAGATGATTGTGATTACTCCTTGTTCCAACTGCTTGAGCCCCAGAGTTCTGGATGAGTCACCAAGTGTCCCCCTTCCTGGATTAGGATAGCTTGGGCACAGTGAACTCAAGAACAAATTATTGTAATGCACTCTACTTGGGGGTCCCATTGAAAATGGCCTGAAAATTGCAGCGTGTGCAGAATGCCACCACTGGATTATTGAACATTACAGCAAGGTGAGATCATATTATACCTAGCCTTCAGGAACTATGCTGGCTGCCTCTGGTACCACACCCAATTTGTAATGTTAGCCTGAAAGGCCCTAGATGACTTAAGACCAAAATACTTAAAGGACCACCTCCTTTTTTTGAGTTTAGAGGTTCTACTATATTGTACACTGTCCTGAAATCCTTCTGGATGAAGGGCAGTCTAGAAAAAACTATTAACTAATTCTTTCAAGATGGCTTACATTAAAACACAAAATTACAACAAAATAAGGATGAATTACTGGGAAACTAGTAACTAATAAATGTCCACCGAGCACTACAAAAATGTCATCAAAACCAACAGCAAGAACGGTATGATAATTTTTAAAACCCTCAAGTTAAAAAAGTGAGCCTTCAGTTCATTCTGAAAGGTCTATAGTGTGACAGTCTAATGGAGCAATGAATTTTAAACCCTGGGGTGGCTACAGTGAACACCCTCTGCCTCATAACTGTGTGTGTGCCTCCCTGCCCACATTATTATCATTTCCCCTTGGGTCAATTGGCCTTCATAAGAAAAAGGGGTTTTTCCAGTCCAAGCTCATTTACTCTGCACCAAAACTTTCAGCAACCACTGAGAAATCTTGGCTATGCATTAAATCTTTCTCCTTAAGAAAAGGCCTCCTTCAGGTCATCTTCTCCCGACAAAGCATGGCATTATTTGCAAAACATAGCATAGGTCTGGGACCCCACAGCCAATCTCCAGCTCTACTTACCCAGCTCAGACAGTTCATGAGAGTCAGAAAACCGACCTGGAAAATAAGCATAAGGAAGACATGAGCCAATATTCCACACTCTTTTGAAAACAGTCCAAACAGGTCTTCTGAGGGAAAGGCTTTGATGCAATTCTTATACAAATATGCTACCCTGTTGCTCAATCAGCCTGGAGGTTAAAATTTCCCACAGAAGCCTACATCTACTCTGCATCTTCTTAACCAATACAGAGTTGCACTGCAGTTTCATCAACAAGAAGAGACACGTCCTATAGGTAAATGACAGCTGACAATTCTCCAATCTGAGTCTTTTTGCCATAGCATTGTAGGAACGTAATCCCAGATTTGCCTTTATATTTGACAGACACTGGGGCCACTATAAATTATGGTTTAAACAATATAGTCATAATTAGGTTAAAAATACTGTTTTTTCTGATAAACAATGAGCAAATTATTTTATTTTTGTTTCAGATGTTCTCTTGACCAGGTATACTGCAACTTATAGTCAGGTGATGGTTATCATTTGGTTCCATCACCCCCCTAATTGATAAAATATGGAAGTATGGAACCAGAGGACTGGTCCACTTGTGGAGTGGGAAATGGTGCAAGAATGGGAAGCAGATGGTACGAACAACAGTTATCACAACAGAAACAATAGTGAGGCTCTCCCAGCATCTGAACTAGGATAAATATTGGGAACTTTAACTTATTTATATATTATCCAATGAGGCAGCCAAGTTTGCAGATTATTCAAGTGTGGTGAAAAGTCAAACAGACCATGAAAAACTCCAAAATGATTTGTCCACAACAGAAAACAAAATGGCAAAGGAAATGCAGCACAAATAGTTATAAAGTGATAGACACTGAGGCAATATGGGATCTAAGCTGCCTATGTCTACCTAACAAGGGTACCTTGGGATTTTGCTACAATGTCAACATAAGTGAAAAATTAAGATTTTTTGTTTTTGTTTGGGGTTAATAGGTTTAACAGAAAATGTTAAGGTATTATAACAACTTTATACAAACAAATAGTGCTTTCACTTCAGGAACACTGTTCTTTGTATCCAGACTTAAGAAGGGCATGGCAGAGGGGCAACCAAAAATATTAAAGTGTTGGAATACCTTCCCTTCAAGTATAAGTCAAAGTATTTGAAGTTTTTAGTCTAGAAAAAAGGCAACTAAAGCTTATCAAATGATAAATAGTACACAGAGAGTAGATACTTCCCCACCCCATCTCATAATGCAAGGAGGTAGAGGTCAGGCAGTGAAACTGATTGGTAGTAAATTCAGGGCAAAGGAGAGTAGTTTTTCCACACGATACACTATTAACTAATGAAATTTACTTTCCCAAGATGTGGTGATAAGCCACTGGCTGATCAGTTATTGATTTAAAGCACTTTCACTGTCCTCTTTGACCAAAAGAGATAAATAACATGCAAGACAACTCCTGCCTGCAAGCTTGCAACAGAAAAGGCAGGACACAAAAGAGGGGGGGGAAAGGAGTGGGCGTGAAGGGCTTCCTTCCAGGGAATGAATTTGCCTGGTCACCACTGGAAACAAAATAATGGACCAGATGGACTCTGGGTTTGATCTAGCAGAGCTCTTACGGATTGGAAAGTAACTGCCCTGCAATCACTCAAGGTTGCAACAGAAGTCACCAACAAGGGTGAGAGATCAGAGCTATCTTGATGCATCGAGTGTGACCCTGGGCGCTTTCAAACAGGAGGTTATCAAACCGGTGATTGAAACCGGCTGGTCACCCAAACGGGAAGTGGCAGAGGGCTGCCTGAAGAACACAATTTTAAAAATTAGGGTACAGTACTATTAACAAGATGCAAAGTAAAGGGATTCATTCGAGCAGATCTCCGTCCAAATCCGAGTCCAAAGGTCTGGAGGATTTGGAGAAGGGACACACACACACCCCAGTCATTTATTTCCTCTCTCGCTTGGGGCTGCCACCTTCCGACCTGGCACAACTCCCGCTCCTCTAACAGCTGCTGGGGAAAACTTCACCTGCCGGACTTCTGCCGGCCGCGCAGCTCTGAAGCCGCGCCCACACCATCTTCTGCCGGGGGGGGGGGAGGTCAATGGCAAACCTTTCCCCGCGGCGACTCTGCGTTGGAGAAAGGGAGCTGGGATTCCTCAACGCCCCCCCCCCGGCTTCGGTCTCCCCGGCTCGCCCCCCGCCTACCTGGCAACAGGTAAGAGAGGCCGCGCACGGTGCTCTCCAGCTGAGCTGTGGCCGCCGGGTGTCGCTTCACGTAGTCCTGGTAGCGGCCGCACAGGTGCCGCAACCTCCCGAGCGGCCCCTGCGCGGATCCTGCCATGGCGGATCCAGAGACGGGTGCGCGCCTGCGTGCGTGCCCCCGCAGCACAGCTGCCCCCCACTCCCCGCCTTTCCCCGCAGCAGCCGGCGACCCACGAACCCGCTCCGAGTACGCCTGACCAAGCACGCATGCGCGCGCGCTTCCGGGTCGGACTTTGCTTTTTGGGAGACACGCCTCCTCCGTCTCCCGACTCTCTGCTCTTTTATTTCTCCCCCCGCCCCCCACACTTGCTCCGCGCCTGCGCAGCTCCTGACCCTGCGATGGAGTGAAACGAACCAATCGAGCGCCGAGCGAAAGAACCGGGGTGGTGGGGAGGCGAATGAGTCGAGCGAGGAGCGGCTTGGAGGAGCAGGTGCCGGCTTGGAGGAGGAGGAGAGTTGGAAGGAAGGGTTGGACTGGAGAACGAGGCGAGGAGGGCGCGAGCGCGGCTCGCTCAGGCTGCGCGCATCTTGCGTGGTGGAGAAGCGGGCGCGCATTACCTCCCAGGCGCAGAGGGTTGAGGAGGCTTCCCTTCAGGGAGAGACCCCTCGCGAGCAGCTCAGCGCCGGCAGGTGCTCGGCGCTCCCTTGCCAGGAGAGGCTGCCTTGGCTGCGCCTTGCAGGTGCGTCGTGAAGACGGTGCCCGCCGTCAGCGGGTCCCTCTTTTGGGGGAATATGAGTTGTGTGGGAAAACTGCATGAATCTGGGCAAGGGGACGACGAGCTGCTGCTGGCGGCGGCAGGTGCGTTGCCCGCCCGGCGCCTCCCCTTTGTCCCGCTTTATTGCTTGGCGGAGGCAGCGGCAGCAGGTGGCCGATGGCTCAGCACCTGGGATGTGGGGCAGCAGCCTTCGGGACGCGCGGTCTGAACGGGGAGCTGGGAAAGTGAGAAGGCTGGGAAAAGAACAGCCCTTTCCCCGTCCGGAGGCACCCTCCTCTCCCTGAAATACACGGCCCGTCACCGCCACCGTAATAATTTTTAAAGCTCCCAAAGGGGCGCCTTCCGTTTCCTCGAGTTATTTTAGCGCCCTAGAGCGCTCGGCTCGCCTTTTGGCCGCCGCATGTGTGAAATCAGAAGTAATAATAACTCGAGCTGTAGTAAGAGTTCTTTGCTAGCAGTAGTAAAAGTTCCTTTGCTTGTTGGTCCTTCTGCAGAACTGCTAAGCCTGAAATTATCTCCCTTCTGCTAATTACCCCGTCTTCATCATTTAGTGATAGATGTGCGGGGCTGCGATCCGAAGCATGCTTTCTTCCAGGTAAATGTGATGGTCTTGCTCCCAAGTTAATACGACCCGGGCCAAACTATATCGAGTCTTTCCCTGCAGTGGTAAATTTCTAATTCGAGATGTGTGAGAGCTCTGACCTATTTGGAAGCTCAGCTGCCTAATTAATATTTGGGTGAATATGTGGTTAATTGGTGGCAATGAAGGAAATGTATTCTCCATATCCTCAGAAAAGGTCATCTTCATATATTTTTACAGCTCACCTATTCAGAGGCTAAGCGGCCCCATGAGCCTGAAAGGCCATGATTCTAGGGAGCTTTTGTAATTGACATGAAATTTGAACCTATGAGCCCTATGCATGCTTTGGGTGGAAAAGGGGCATGATTCTCCAAAGAATGCATAGGGGAAATGGCCTTAAGATACTCCTGTGTCTTCTTGGAACTTTTGGTAGGTTAGGGTAATTCTTTTCAATGGGACCCATCTCTCATTTTATTCCTACAACAATGTCAAGATTGGTGAGATAGTGGATGGACTAAGATGATCCAGGGAGTTTCATGGTTTCTCTGGTTCTAGTGTGGCACTCTAATCACTGCACCATATTGCCACTTCAGTCATAATATAATATAATGTTTAATATATTGGCTAACCATGGATAGGGGCAAATCATATCTGAGAGATATATAGCAAGCATGAGCTTTCTGAGCAAAAACCTCTGTCATGCAGCTAGTGAACTATTGTTAATCTCTTTTTTACATTCTGTGCTGCCATTTGGCCCTCAATAGTTTCCCAAGGTCCTCAACAATGCGATACAAATTGCAGTTAAAACACTAAAACAGCAGCATAAGAACAATTAACCCCCTCTTCAGATTTTTTTTTAGTGGTTGTCAAGCCAACAAGTAGGTTCTTGACTTTGAAAGCTAATATTACAATAAATGGGAAGATTTTAAGTCTTTGTCTTGTTGCAGCTTGGTATTTGTGTATTTTATTTACTTTTATGCTGCCAATAAGCCTTTGTTTCCCCTTCATACATGGAGAGTGTCTGATGTAAGTACTTGTGCAGCCCAGTGCTGTGCCTGTAAGTCCTTTTGGGTTCAGTGAGACTCCCAATTACATAGGCATGGGATTGTGTTAGGCTTAATGTTCAAGTGCCTTAGAACTATTATCTTTATAAATCAAGCTGATGGTTTAAGAATTTCAGTCATAACACATACATTGGTTGCAGGGATGATTGTATAGGAGCGGGTGGTGCTGTGGTCTAAACCACTGAGCCTCTTGGGTTTGCTGATCAGAAGGTTAGCGGTTCAAATCCCTGCGACAGGGTGAGCTCCCATTGCTCTGTCCCAGGTTCTGCCAACTTAGCAGTTTGAAAGCACACCAGTGCAAGTAGATAAATAGGTACCACTGCGGCAGGAAGGTAAATGGTGTTTCCGTGTGCTCTGGTTTCCGTCATGGCGTTCCATTGTGCCAGAAGCGGTTTAGTCATGCTGGCCATCTGTCTGTGGACAAACGCTGGCTCCCTCGGCCTGAAAGCGAGATGAGCACCACAACCCCATAGTTGCCTTTGACTGGCCTTAAGCATCCAGGGGTCCTTTACCTTTACGTGATGCATGATTCAGTAAATAAAGTAAAAAACACAAGGGACCTTTACTCATAATCTTGAAAGCCTACCATATTGTCATGAACATAGTTTTGAGAGAAATTTGCTGTGGCAATTTCAGAAGTACCTACTCGTTTCCTGTTTGGGTTGGACAGCCCTGTGAGCCAGATGGTTATTCCCAATTTACAGATAGACAACTTTTCCAAAGCCATGTAGTGAGCCTATATACTGAAGTAGAAACAGATTCTTATTCCCTTGCTAATTCTGGTAGCAATCATAAGTTGGTGGAGGTTGGGAAAGAAAATCTGCTTGATGCTTCCAATAGAGGTAGCCTTGGTGTGAATCAATCCTATTTACTGCTGTTTAGCATCCTGAGGGAATTGAGCTGGTATGTGGCATTGTCTGATGGGAGTGTATTCACATGCTGCTTATTGTCATGGTGCTTTGATTCCATCCTTTTGTCAACTGCAGCAGGGGGCCAATACAGTAAATATATGAATAACTGGACTCCAGATCCCTTTCTTTCTCTTTCTCTTTCTCTTTCTCTTTCTCCAAAGGGTGCCTTTGCAGGGCAGACAGAAAAGGTTGGTTGGCTGGTTAGTAACGTTCTTTGCACTTGGGTTTTTAAGGGTTGAGCGAAGGATGGGGTAGGCATATAAGCCCTACTGCCAGCTCTGCCTATTCCCATTAGCAAAGGATTCAGAAGAGCTTTGTTCTCCAGTACAGTTGATGTTCCAGTAGTGCTAAACATACTTATGGAAAGTTTAGGAGTGCAGCTCACCCACCACCACCCACAACTGTGTCCCAGTTTCTTAATGCTGGAATAAGGTAATGCAAAGTAGGAGCAAAGTAGGAGCTAGTAGATGCAGACAAGCTTATGTGTGCATGAAAGTTTAATTAGTTGAACATACTTCTGCTGGGGGGGGGGCAAGAGGTGTGGGGAAGGGAAAAAATATGCTGTTTGCTAGGAGGGAAAGAAGCTGAAGGGAGTGATTGGGCGGGGGGGGGGGAATTGGAGGCCCGAAGGGGTATGCAGTTGAACACAGATAATTAATGGCAAAGGTCAGCAGGGAGTTTGGCCACCTGACCTCCACATGGCATAACCAGTTGCCCAGAGAAGGGAGAGAAGAAGCTAAATGTGAGTCATGTTGGGATTTGCTGGCAGAGTTTGAAATATTGCTCCTTGAGTTTTGTTGCTGTGCTTAGTGACGGAGTGGAGGGAGAGTGAAGGACTTTTGCACTTGAGCTGCTATAGTTCAAAAAGTGAAAATTCAAACAGAAAAGTTGTTGAACTTTTTTTTTTCAAAATCTCAAAGAAATGAGCTACTTCTGAGGGAAACTGGCAAAAACAACACTGCTGATACTGGACACTGCTTGCGGCTGCAGTATTCTGGATATGTCCTGGAAATTCCGGACGTATGGCAACCCTAATTCACAGTCCTCTGCCATGTGCATATACCTACAAGCCATCTTTTCAATACCAAAGCTACAATCATTGCACTTAGTAAAATATAAAGCCTAAGTATCAGCATTGGCTTGGGTATCACTTTTTTTTTTTTGCTTTCATATCCTACGAATATTATCTATTCAGGTTGCAAATATGGTGTGAGTCCCACAGTGATTTTAAAAATGCATGCAGCACCTCCCAATTTTGATAATATATTTAACAGGATTTATATACCGCTTGATTGCAGGAAAATCTCTAAGCAGTTTACGGAAATACATACTAAAACCTGATCTCTGTGGCTCAGTGCATCTGCCTGTGTCAATCAGAAGGTTGGTGGTTCAAAGCCACCCTGGGATGGTTGTGGGCAGGATTCCTGCACTGAAGGGGATTGACCCCTGGGGTCACTTCCAACACTACAGTTCTATAATGCCATATTAAAATTATTGATTAAAAGCAGTTAAAAAGAGGTATCTTAAGATCATTAAAGTAAATGCTGCCACACTAAAATACTGATTTCTTATAAGTGAGTATTATGTAGTACCAGTTTCACAAACTGAAGTGGTTGAGTGGGGTAAGGCAAGTAAAAAGGTCCAAACTACTAAGTGTTTTCCAGATCAAGCACAAGGGAAGCCCCACATAGAGTGCACTGCAGTAATCCAAACTTGAAGTCACCAGTGCCTGAACTACTGTGGTCAAGTTCTCTGGTCCAGGAATGAATGTGGCTGTCACAAGGTTACAACTGGTAAAAGGGGCTTCTAGCCACTGAGGCTACCCTGGGCCTCCAGTGACAGAGCTGGATCAAGAAACACCCCCAAACTGAAAACTGTTCCTTTGGGGACAGTGCAAAACTGTCCAGGGCAAGCAGTTGACCAATTTCTTGGATGCAGGAGCCACTCACCCATAGTGCCTCTGTCTTGCCAGAATTCAAGCTAAGCTTATTTTCCTTCCTCCATCTCACCACTCCACCCAGGCCACCAGCCCAGGGCCCACACAGCTTCATTCAGATGTTACGGAGAAATGAAACTGAGTGTAGTTAGCATTCTGATAGCATCTTGCTCCCAATGATCACCCCCAGAGGCTTCGTGTAGCATTAAATAGCTCTGGAGATAGAATAGTGCTCTGCAGCACCCCATAGCGTAACCACCAGGGGGCTGAAAAGCACTCTTCCAGTGCTGTACTCACTCACCTCACAGAGTGTTTGTTGTGGGGGAGGAAGGGAAAGGAGAATGTTAGCCGCTTTGAGACTCCTTAAAGGGAGTGAAAGGCGGGATATCAAATCCAAACTCTTCTTCTTCTTCTTCTTCTTGATTCAGTCTCTTGGCTTGCGAGATCAAGAAACAGGAACAAGGTTGCGCTCT